TGGGAGCCATACTGGTCCATACTGGGAACAATGGGAGGGGTCACTGGTCCATACTGGGAGCACTGGGAGGGGAACTGGGTCATACTGGGAGCTCTGGGAGGGGTCACTGGTCCGTACTGGGAGCACTGGGAGGGGTTTTGGGTCATACTGGGAGCACTGGGAGGGGTCACTGGTCCATACTGGGAGCGCTGGGAGGGGTCACTGGTCCGTACTGGTCCATACTGGTCCGTACTGGTCCATACTGGTCCGTACTGGTCTGTACTGGTCCATACTGGTCTGTACTGGTCCATACTGGTCCGTACTGGTCCGTACTGGGAGCCCTGGCACCGCCCCAGTCCCCTCCCCACCCCGATGACGTCACCGCCCGCCAATAAAGCGCAGTTCAAAAGCACAGCGTGTGACGTCATTAAATGGGCGGGGCCCGCTCGGTGGTTGGGGAGGGGGGAAGGAGCGGCTGGGGATTGGCCGAAGCGGCGGCCAATGGAGAGCGAGCGCGGGCGAGGCGCGGGGAGGTGACGTCACTCCGCGCGCGCCGCCGCTGCCGCCGCCGGTACCGGAGGGTCCCGAGAGCGGCGGGGCCGGGGCGGAAGTGACGTGAAGAGACAGCGCGGGGAAACGGCTGGGGATGGGCGGGAGTGACGTCAGGTGAGGGGGGAGGGACTGGGAGGGAACTGGGCCATACTGGGAGGGACTCGGAGCGGCTTTGGGGTTACTGGGAGTTGCTGGTTTGGGATTTGCGGTTACTGGGATGAACTGGGAGGCCCCTGCTGGGTTACTGGTTTGTACTGGGATGAACTGGGATGGGAACTGGGCTGGACTGGGAGGGCACTCACTGGTCAGGCCACGCCCACCCCTTCAAACCCTACCCCATGTCCTTTTATGGGCATGGAGCCCTCCAGGCCACGCCCACCCCTTCAAACCCCACGCCATGTCCTTTTATGGGCACGGAGCCCTCCAGGCCACACCCCCAGCCCCTCCCCCACCCTGACCCCTCCCCCCAGGTGGTGACGTCACTGCTGCGGGAGCTCGGCCCCTCCCCCGCCGTGCTGGACGCGCTGGATTGGCTCTTCCCGGAGGGGGCGGGGCCAGAGAACGGCCACGCCCTCGGGGTGAGACTGGGAGGGGCTGGGGGGGTCTGGGGCTAAACTGGGATGGACTGGGATGAACTGGGAGGGAACTGGGCCCCCTTTAACCCCTCCCACAGGGGCGTGGCCAAGCCCAGCCCGCTCCCCCTCTATGCCAATCCCCATATATGGCCAAAGGGGGCGTGGCCTGAGTCAGGCCCCGCCCCCCCAGTCGCTGCAGGGGCGCCCCCTGGTGGCCGTGGCCGAGGAGCACTTCCGGGAGCAGGTGCTGGGAATTCTGGGAAGTGGGCGGGGCCTGGAGGCCTTCCTGGAGGTGAGACCAGTCTGGACCAGTAACCCACCCCGCCCCCTCCCAGTCCATCCCAGTATAGACCAGTAACAGATGTAAATTCACAAAAAATACGTAAAATTTGCCCTAAAATTAATTAGTCAAAAAAAATTTATCCAAAATTTACAAGGATCAGACAAAATCAGGAGCAATGGCACAAAATTCGCCCAAAATTAACAAAAATAGGCCAAAATTCACAAAAATTCACAAAAATTCGCCCAAAATTCCTAAAAATTCACCCAAAATTTGCCCTAAATTGAGATGAAATTAACAAAAATTACATAAAATTCACACCGAAATTAATTAAAGTGGTACAAAATTTATCCAAAATTAACAAAGATCAGAAAAAATTGACAGAAATGGCAGAAAATTTACCCAGAATTAATAAAAATTCACCAAAAATTAACAAAAATTCATAGAAAATTCACCATAAATGGAGATTAAATTAACAAAAATTACTTAAAATTTGCGCTAATATTAATTAAAGTGGTATAAAATTTATCCAAAATTGACAAAAAGGCAGAAAATTCTCCCAAAATTCACCCAAAATTGACAAAGATCAGCCAAAATTAACAGAAATGAGGAAAAATTCAGCCAAAAATAGCAAAAATTCAGCCAAAATTAATTAAAATAATTCACAATTAACCCCCAAATTAATGAAAATCCCCCCAAACTCACCCAAAATTGACCCCAAACCTCTCAAAAGCCTCAAAATCTCCCCAAAATTCGCCCCAAAATGCACACAAATCCTTCCATAAACCCCGCCCCTTTTTGCTTAAGCCACGCCTCTTTTTTCCTTATATGGCACAGCTGGAGCAGCTCTGTCGAAGCCACGCCCCTCCGGGCTCCAAGCCACGCCCCCTCCCGATCCTGCAGCGTTATTTTGCCGAGGTTCGCCCCACCCACCCAGGTAGGCGGGGCTTAAAGAGGGGGGGATGAGCTGTATGCAAATTAGGTGTCTCATTAACCATAAACCCCGCCCACAGCTCCAGCACCACGCCCACTTCCGGCTGAGAAAACCCCACCCACGTGAGTAGACACGCCCACAACACCTACCTTCTAATTAATTGTTAATTAGCTGCTAATTAACGTTTATAATGTCATTAATTCAGGCCAAAGCCCCGCCCCCGCCGCCGCAGGCTCCGCCCCCTCCGCTTCTCCCCCTACAGTGAGTGGGATGAACCATTCTGATGTGGGGGGGAGGCTGGAGCAGCCAGTGAGGTTTTGCGGGGGATTTTACGAGCCAATCAAAGCGAGGCACGACAGGGGAGGGTTATGACGCCTGGCGTGACGTCATCGCGAAATTTGGGGTCAAAAAAGGGATTTTTGGGGATTCCCCCCCCTGCTCGACGCAAAATGGAGCAGCCCAGTAAAGGCGGGCTGTAACCGCCGTCGATTGACAGCGGCTGCAACCAATGAGGCGCCTTCAGAGCCCGGAAGTGCTTTGTGAACTACAATTGCCGCCATTTTGACTGCTGGCAAGAGGCGGGCGCAGCGCGCTGATTGGCGGAGAGACCGGAAGCGCTTCCGTCGCCATTTTAGATGTTGGCAGTGCGGGCTCAGCGGGCGGGGCCTCGCTTCCGCTTCCGCTCGGCGGCTCCGAAGGCGCCGCAGCCGCCACGATGCTCATCAAAGTCAAGGTTTTTTTGGGATGAAAACCGCGGGTTTCGGGCAAATCCCGTCCTTTCCCGCCATCCCCGAGGGGGGGAGGGGAGGCGCGGAGGGGATTTGGGGTGAAAATCGCGGATTTTGGGGGGGTTTTGGCGGGGGGGTGGGGGAGCGTGAGGGGAGCGCGCGGTGCATTGTGGGATGATGGCGCCCCCTACAGACGCTGACGGGGAAAGAGATCGAGATCGACATCGAGCCCACGGACAAGGTGAGCTCCCAGTTCGGACCGGTATAAACCAGTATGGACCAGTTGGGGGTCGGTAAGGAGCGGGTTTGGGGGGGGATTCGGGCTGGGGGGAAGCAGTTTGGTACCAGTGAAGGGGAGGGGCGTCCCAGTATGGCCCAGTCCCGCCCAGTATCCCTCAGGAACCCTCAGGAACCTCCCAGTCCCTCCCAGTCCCTCCCACCTCCATCGCCCCTTTAAAACCATAGACGAGTCCTCCAAGCCGGCCAGCTTTCCCTTTAGCCCCGCCCACTTCCGGCGGCGCTCCGCCACACTTCCTCCTCTCTATGGCCCAAAATGGCGGCGCCCACGGTTTTTAACCCTCCGGAGCCTCCAGATGTGCCCGAATGTGGCCCAGGTGTGCCCAGATGTGTCCCAGATGAGCCCAGCTGTGCTTTCCCGCCCGCAGGTGGAGCGGATCAAAGAGCGCGTGGAGGAAAAGGAGGGGATCCCCCCCCAGCAGCAGCGGCTGATCTACAGCGGCAAGCAGATGTAGGCGGGGCTTAAGGGGGCGTGGTCACTGATGGGCGGGGCTTAACAGCAGGGGCGTGGTCTCCGGTTAAAGGGGCGGGGCTTAAATGGGGAGGTTTGGGTTGGAAATGGGAAAATTTGGGTTAAAATGGGGAGAAATGGGGTTTAAATGGTGGCTGGAGGCGGGGCTTAAATGGGGAGGTTTGGGTTGGAAATGGGAAAATTTGGGTTAAAATGGGGAGAAATTGAGTTAAAATGGCGGCGGAGGCGGGGCTTAAGTGGGCGTGGTCAGGGCAGGGTTTGAGGTGTGAGAGGGGCGTGGTCACAGGTCAAGGGGGCGGGGCTTAAATAGGAAGATTTGGGTTGGAAATGGGGACATTTGGGTTAAAATGGGGAGAAATGGGGTTTAAATGGTGGCTGGAGGCGGGGCTTAAATGGGCGGGGCTAAAAGGGGAGGGGCTTGATGGAATTTGGGTGGAAAATGTGGGATTGAATGGGGTGGGGGTGGGGCCTACGTGGGTGTGGCCTCACAGCTGGGTGTGGCTCAGGGGGGCGTGGCCACAATGGAGTCACAGTTCGGGCAATGAAGTGGGTGTGGCCTAAGTGGGTGTGGCCTCTGTGACTCCTCCCCCAGGAACGATGAGAAGACGGCGGCCGACTACAAAATCCAGGGGGGCTCCGTCCTCCATCTTGTGCTGGCCCTGCGAGGGGGCGTGGCCAGGCTCTGAGGGGGCGTGGCCATGTCCTGGACACTCTCCAATTCCCTTTAAGCCACGCCCACCTTCGTTTCCCCTTTCCCTGAGGTCATTTCCTGTTCATGGATCCGTTATTATTTAATAAAGGTTCACTGATAATGTCAGCAGCGCGTTTGTGACGTCATAGGCGTCTCATGATGTCATTTCCTGCCTAAAAATTTAGGGTAGGCCCCACTTCTAGCCGGCATTGCCCTTTTAAGACAGCGTTGCCCTTTTAAGGGCATTGCCGCCTTAAGGGCGCGGTGGACCCCAACAGTGGCATTGCCCTTTTAAGAGCTTTTAAAAAATCCCCAATTTTGCCCCAAAATTTGAATTTTTAGCCCTGAAGTGCCGATTTTTAACCCCAAAATCGCCAATTCCACTCTCAAAAATCACAAATTTTTCTTTTTAGCCCCCAAATCCTCATTTCCCCCCTCAAAATCTGAGGTTTCACCCCCGAAATCCCATTTTTTGGGCATGAAATTACCCAAAATCACCAGGTTTGGTCCCAAAATCAACATTATGATTCTAAAACAACCATTCCAGTCCAAATTTAATATTTTCAGCCCTAAAATCCCCATTTTTATCCTCAAAAACCTTAATTTTTAACCCCAAATTCTCAATTTTTAATATTTTATTCTCTATTTCTCCTCAAAAAACCAAATTAAGCCCCAAAACGCCCACTTTTCACCACAAACCCACCTTTTTCCCCTCAAAACACCCCTTTAAACGCCCACACTCCCCTTTCTGACTCTAAATTCTTCATTTTTATCCCCAAACCGACCAAATTTTGCCTAAATCTGTCACTTTTAACCCCAAAATCGCACCTTTCCACCATCGCCCCTTTAAGAGCGGTCCCCACCCGCCATCACCGCTTTAAAACCATAGAGAAGTCCTCCAGAGCGGCTAGTGTGCCCTTTAGTTACGCCCACTTCCGGCGGCGCTCCGCCCGACATCCCCCTTTCACGATGCTACAAAATGGCCGCCCCCTCTTTCTCTAAAATGGCGGCGCCCGCATTGGAGCAGATTTTGTCGCAACTCCTGGAGCCCGACAGCGCCGGCATCCGCCAGGTGCCTCAAATTTCCCCAGATTCGGGCAAATTTGGGCGAACCTCTGGATTTTTGGTGTTTTAGCTGAATTTTTGGGCTTTTTTCCAGGCCACGGAGCGGCTGCGGGAGGCGCTGGAGGAGCCGGAGGGGCCCGAAGGCCTCGCGGAGCTGCTGAGGGGGGCGGCGAGGCCGCAGGTCTGAGGGGGGTTTGGCGGGAATTTTGGGGGTTTTGGCGGGAAATTTTGGGGGTTTGGCG